CTCCAGCCCTGCCAGTGGCCCTCCCGCCTGCGTCCCCTTTAATTGGTTAGCCAATCAAACGAGACTTCACACCCCTAAAGCCGACCTTTCGGGAGTTAAAGAACAGAGCGGACCCCAAGTTCCATGACTGTGCGGTGGGATCTTTCCTTTGCGAGGTGCTGGGGAGTGTCTCAGGTATTAGGAAGCCCACGGGATCACAACAGACGTGAGAGAAGGCTACTTACATTTACTCTCGATAAACTGATGGAGGAGACAGGACTTCCCAGTCCCCGCACTTCCTATCACAAGGAACTTGAAGAGGAAATCTGGAGAGCAAAAGCACCACACGTGTAACACTTGGGGGGGCGTGTTCTGTGTAAGGGGTGACAGAAAGCAGCTTCTTAACCCTTCTTCAGGAACTTGCACTAGATGCTCCTTGCAAGTCACCGACTCTCTCTGTGCCCCAGTAAAAGAGACCCTCCCCTCTCCTTTTGTCCATCTGAATCTTGTCTAGTTTGACGGTAAGCTCACTGAGGGAGGGGGCGTGCTAGGAGCACGTGGCTTCCGCTGCGCCAGGCGCTGCACATCTCAGCCTGGTGCCTTTTGGCACCGCTGATAACTCACCGAATGGTTATTTGCACCCCCTTCTGTGTTAGCCCTTCCCCGTCTGCTCACAGCCCGGCACGGAGGCAAGCTGAAGAGATCTCCAGCAGCCACCAAGTTAGAACAGCGCAGGGGCAACCCGGCCGGCAGAGCAGAGAAAGGAGGCCCCCAGGCGTAGGGATAAGAGGCAGACCGGAAGAGCTTCGAAAGGATCTCACAAAACTAAGCGACTGGGCAGCAAAATGGCAAACGAATGTTAACGTCGATACATGCCAAGTGATCACACAACCCCAACGAGACATGGAAAACGATGGGAACTAAATTAGCGGCTACCACTCTTGTTCTTTGCAAACCACTCCCATGTGCAAGAGCAGCCAAAAGAGCAAACAGCGTTCGGAATCATTAAGAAAGGGACAGAGACGGAGAGTGAGAATAGCTCATTGCCTCTGTGTAAATCCATGGGACTCCCACAGCCTGTGGCCTGCCGCATCTCTCACACAGGTATCTGGGCATTGGAAAAAGTTCAGAAGAGGGCAACAAAACTCACGAGGGGTTCAGAACGGCGGCCGCGTGAGGAGAGATTCATCCAACTTTTCAGCTTAGAAAAGCGGAGACTACGGAGGGATACGGTAGCGGTTGAGCAAATCGGAGACGGGACAGTGGGCGAGACGGACTCGGCACGTTCTAAAGCTGATCGGACGGATGGATTTCCTGGAGTGTGCCGCATCGGCCCCCTGTCCCGCAGCCGGGCACCAGACAGAACCTTGCGGCTGTCCCTTGGAATCCCATACGCTCCCTGCGGATGCCAGCTCCTTCCGGCTGCTTTGGAAGGAGCGATCCCTGGCTTGGGTTCAAACCTGTTAGCAGTGGCGCGACGTTGGCGCCTCGAGATGCCCTGCTATGGGGTGCCCCCTGCCCAGAGACAGGCCTTGCTCGCAAGCACCAGCTGGGCCACGTTAGTTATGCCAGTCTGGGGACGGGGCGCCATCCGCTCCTAGTCTGGGCCCCACACCTCCGGCGCGGCGTCCTCCCGCAAGGGACGGGGAACAAGCCACAGCGGTGGAAGCTAGCAACGCGAATCTGTACTCAGGGTCCTGGGCTGGCTTGCACGGCTCATGCCAGACCAAAGCCTGGTTTACACCCTACCCACTAGGCCACACGGTTTCTTCAAAATCCCCCCCAGACAAGCGAGAGAGGGGATCTGAAAAGCCAGCTCGCCTGCGCTGCCGGGAGAGGACCGGAGTCCTTGGCCGACATGTCCAGACCTGGCCCCTGGGCGGCCGCCCCCTGAAAGCATCAGGCCAAATGCCCAGGTGCCATTAAACTTTCACGCCTCTGGGAAGCTCATTTCAGAGGGTGTGGGGGGGAAAACACAGCGAACCCCACCCCCCTTGAGAGAGAAGCGCAGGGACGCAGACAGCCCCAGCACTGGGGTCTCTGGGCACCCATCCGCTGGCAGAAAAGCCTTTTCCAGATGCGGAATTGGAGGTGTAGAGCAGACGCTTGCTCAACATCACAGAGGGAGTCTCCGACACAACAGGGAACCAAGCCCGAGTCCCTCCCTCAAGTCCGGGTCTGGTCTCAGGCTGCTTGTTTACTCGGCTCAGCATACTGGATTGAGGCGGCTTCACGCCCCAGTCGCGCTCTTGCACAGGAGCACGGCCACGTCAGCTCTGACCACGGCTCCCGTGGCCCACCTTGAAGGGATGTAAGAATGCCGTCGATTAACCGATTAGCAAAAGCATATCGGTGAATGCTGTAGACTACACGCATTTCCCCGCCCCCCAGTAAATTTGTTAGCAGGCTGGCCAGCAGCCTGGCTCAGTCCTGGCTTGCACCAGGTGTGGGACCTACCCCCGCTGCAGCTCTGCATTTGAAGTGTGTTAGGAGCCGGGCAGGCAGCCTGGCTCAGTTCCAGCTCGTGGTGGATCCAGAAACTCCGACTACCTCTCCGCCCCCAACAAGGGCTGCTGCCATCCTGCGCTGTTGCCTCTGTATCAGAGGCAGCAGAACACTGGCATAGGGAACCAGTCTGCAAGGGGAACAGGTTGTCTGCAAGGGGAACTGGTTTTTAACCTGGCTCCCCTCATGGACCAGCTCCCGCCTGGCCCCCCGCGCTGCTGCCTCTGATACAGAGGCAGCATCACAGTGGCAGGGGTTCCTCGGGAATGGGGCCAGAGCGCACGGACGATAGAATAGTCAAATGACTGATAAGAATTCATGAGGTGAATCGACTATTCAATTAACCGATATTTAACACCGTGGTTAGCCTGGACAGCTCGAAGGGAGGTGCAAGATGCCCCACGTGGACCAACGGTGGAACAACGTACCAGCCGTGGTCTCAACCCACCATATGTATCCACCTTTGAGCGTCTAGTCTTCTGCACAACCTGAGGGCATCGAATCCCAAACGCCCTCGCAATGCAAGCAGAAGTGTTCTCACTGGTTTCCCGGCCACACCAGAGAGCTGGAGGCCAGGAGAGACCGCTGGGCTCCCAGAATCAGACACAGCAGCCTGGCAGGGACTGCAGTAAGTCATCTCGGCCCACCCCCTGCATTGAGGTCAGGCTAAGCAATCTAGTCTAACCCCAGGCACAGGATTTCCCCAGAGCAACACTTCCTCTCTGAACCATGGCAAATCTCTTAGCAAAACCTTGCCCCATGATATGAAACAGCCAGCGGTGAGAACACGTCACCCTCCCTTAACTTAGCGATCCATGTAGCTCGGAGAGAAAGGCTTCCTCCGGCAAGCAAACAATCGGCCTTCAGTTAGTCAGTTCCCAGCGTTACCTCGTGTACAAGGGAAATATTTTGGATGTTCTTTCCCAGAAAGCATCAAGGGCTTTAGGTTTCCTATCGCCTAATCTTAAACCCCGGGACCAGGCCCAGGGAAGTGTGGGCACAGCAAACAGAAAACCTTTGCCACGATCAAAGGGAACTCCGTTATCTTGAAACCTTTCAGGAGCACAAAAGTACTTTCAGCCCTGGTACCTGCCTCTCGGTGGGTGTGTGTTCACCTGTGTCACGTGGCCGGGGTGCCGCACAACACACCACACAGGCAGCAGCAGGCACAGAGTAAACAGCGGGCCCAGTGAAACCAGAGACATTAAGTGCAGGGCCAGGCCCAAAGAAAACCAAGCGGAGAGAGATTTCCCCAGATCCTCCGGCGAGTTGCCAGCAAGATGATTTGAAATAAACTCCATCCTTGAACAGCCCCGCAGCGAAGGTCCGAGGGCCAAGCTAGCCAGCTTCGTGTGGTGCCAGCTGGGACAAGGTGATTGCTATACTGAAGGCGCAACGCCAGCCCAAGCCTCTGCAGGCACACAGTGACCCTGGGACCAACACACCGCACAACTGTAACTTAGACATCACCACAGCAACAGCATCGGGGCTTGGGCCGGCCCGACCGCAGCTCGCAGGCACAAATTTTGCACCTCCCATGGTGACGGAGCGACACGGACCCAACTTGGCAGCGTCGACTCGCCTTATACCTGTAGCAGTAATGCAGCCGCCCCTTCCCATCCTGCAATGGGCCAGTCTAGAGGAGCTGCATCAATTCTACAGGGCTTGGAGAGCGGTAACTAGCTGGTTTAACTTCACCCATGCCGTTCCAGCACTGCACGTTGCGTAGGGACAAGGCCCTGGGGTTTCACTTCAATGCTAGCGGCCATCTCGCTCTCTCCCTAATAGAGGCGCCCTGTGTGTTCTCATCACACGGTACACGTTCCTAATAGCGGCTTCCTCCCGTCCTACGTCCTTACATAGCCACAGTCCGTCCTCCAAATCGCCCTGCTGCAGGGGGGTTAAACTTTCCTTCCTCATGACCCAGATGAACAAAATCGCTGATGCCACGACCCAACGTGATTCGCAAATCCCCCAGCTCTCGCCTGGCACCGCCTTCTGGGGGATGGGGGTCCGCAGGGGCTCAGCTTTGCCCCAGAGGTGCCCCCTTCCCCTCCCCTGAACTCCTGGGTTCTCACCCCAGCATGGGAAGGGGTGTAGGGTCTAGTGGTTAGAGCGGGCCGGGGGCTGGGAGCCTGAACTCCTGGGTTCTCACCCCAGCATGGGAAGGGGTGTAGGGTCTAGTGGTTAGAGCGGGCCGGGGGCTGGGAGCCTGAACTCCTGGGTTCTCACCCCAGCATGGGAAGGGGTGTAGGGTCTAGTGGTTAGAGCGGGCCGGGGGCTGGGAGCCTGAACTCCTGGGTTCTCACCCCAGCATGGGAAGGGGTGTAGGGTCTAGTGGTTAGAGCGGGCCGGGGGCTGGGAGCCTGAACTCCTGGGTTCTCACCCCAGCATGGGAAGGGGTGTAGGGTCTAGTGGTTAGAGCGGGCCGGGGGCTGGGAGCCTGAACTCCTGGGTTCTCACCCCAGCATGGGAAGGGGTGTAGGGTCTAGTGGTTAGAGCGGGCCGGGGGCTGGGAGCCTGAACTCCTGGGTTCTCACCCCAGCATGGGAAGGGGTGTAGGGTCTAGTGGTTAGAGCGGGCCGGGGGCTGGGAGCCTGAACTCCTGGGTTCTCACCCCAGCATGGGAAGGGGTGTAGGGTCTAGTGGTTAGAGCGGGCCGGGGGCTGGGAGCCTGAACTCCTGGGTTCTCACCCCAGCATGGGAAGGGGTGTAGGGTCTAGTGGTTAGAGCGGGCCGGGGGCTGGGAGCCTGAACTCCTGGGTTCTCACCCCAGCATGGGAAGGGGTGTAGGGTCTAGTGGTTAGAGCGGGCCGGGGGCTGGGAGCCTGAACTCCTGGGTTCTCACCCCAGCATGGGAAGGGGTGTAGGGTCTAGTGGTTAGAGCGGGCCGGGGGCTGGGAGCCTGAACTCCTGGGTTCTCACCCCAGCATGGGAAGGGGTGTAGGGTCTAGTGGTTAGAGCGGGCCGGGGGCTGGGAGCCTGAACTCCTGGGTTCTCACCCCAGCATGGGAAGGGGTGTAGGGTCTAGTGGTTAGAGCGGGCCGGGGGCTGGGAGCCTGAACTCCTGGGTTCTCACCCCAGCATGGGAAGGGGTGTAGGGTCTAGTGGTTAGAGCGGGCCGGGGGCTGGGAGCCTGAACTCCTGGGTTCTCACCCCAGCATGGGAAGGGGTGTAGGGTCTAGTGGTTAGAGCGGGCCGGGGGCTGGGAGCCTGAACTCCTGGGTTCTCACCCCAGCATGGGAAGGGGTGTAGGGTCTAGTGGTTAGAGCGGGCCGGGGGCTGGGAGCCTGAACTCCTGGGTTCTCACCCCAGCATGGGAAGGGGTGTAGGGTCTAGTGGTTAGAGCGGGCCGGGGGCTGGGAGCCTGAACTCCTGGGTTCTCACCCCAGCATGGGAAGGGGTGTAGGGTCTAGTGGTTAGAGCGGGCCGGGGGCTGGGAGCCTGAACTCCTGGGTTCTCACCCCAGCATGGGAAGGGGTGTAGGGTCTAGTGGTTAGAGCGGGCCGGGGGCTGGGAGCCTGAACTCCTGGGTTCTCACCCCAGCATGGGAAGGGGTGTAGGGTCTAGTGGTTAGAGCGGGCCGGGGGCTGGGAGCCTGAACTCCTGGGTTCTCACCCCAGCATGGGAAGGGGTGTAGGGTCTAGTGGTTAGAGCGGGCCAAGGGCTGGGGGCCAGAACTCCTGGGTTCCCTCCCTGGCTCTGGGAGGGGAGTGGGGACTAGTGGTTAGAGCAGAGGGGCTGGGGCCAGGACTCCCGGGTTCCCTCCCTGGCTCTGCGAGGGGAGTGGGGGCTAGTGGTTAGAGCAGAGGGGCTGGGGCCAGG